CATCATCATCATCATCATCATCATCATCATCACCATCATCATCATCATCATCATCATCATCATCATCATCATCATCATCATCATCAACAACATCATCATCATCACCATCACCACCATCATCAGTTCCAGCCATGATGTCCTATTTCTAATAAATTCATTGGTCGGTCGGTTATCAATTATCAGAGAAACCAGCCATGATGTTTCCTATTCTAATAAACTCACTGGTCAGTCATCAAATATTGGCGGAAGTAAACGGCCAGTCATGATATTTACTATTTCTAATAAATTCATTGGTCAGTTATCAATTATCAGCGGAAATGAACGACCAGTCATGATCACAAATAAAAGTTTCATGTAAAGATATTTTTAAAACTTTAATCTACTTTCCTATTAAAAAATTTAATAATTTTGTGAAATTAATTTTCTTGTTGCTTTAAATCAAACACAAATTAGAAATTCTTGTTTTTTATAATTGTGATTACCGTTGCTAGCTGACTAGTCATGGCCATGACTAATGATTTTATATCTACCTGCGACCAGATTTCCGCCGTGAGCCATTACAGCCTTAATATTACTGTAGTAGATATAGTCGTGACTAAATTCAATAATTAACAGATTGTTTCATTACAAAATTTGTAAATATACATTTATTTATTTATTTTCTTTATATTATGTATATATGTATATATATATATGTTAAACATCAATCTAATTAAAACAAATTGATTTTATTTACTTCTTTCATATGTTTTAAGTTTATTGCTTTTAAGAAAATTATATTTTTAACTGTTGATGTGTATTTTTTTACTGGATAACTGGAATTGTGATTTTTTAGTCATTTAGAAATTACTCAAAAAAACTAGCTTTTAAACTAATAGTGAAAATTTTGATAATAAAATGTATTTTGGAACATTCTAAACATTTTATTAAGATGAAGACATGTTTTATATTTTTAAGTGATCCAGTAATTTTTATGAGTGTATGTATTAGTTGGTATATTGATATTTATTTAATTAGTTGTGGCTTACAGTTCACCAGCCAGCTCGCAACACTAATTGTGATACATGAAAAGTTAAAATTTTTTTTTAATATAGTACACAATTGAAAGGTTTTCGTTAGTTTTAATATATGGGGGAATATGTGGTTAGGTACCTCTCTGAACAAAATTGAGTTTTTTTGCATAATATATATCTATATTACAGGAGTAGTAGTTCTTATATATATAAGAAAAAAAAAAACTGATGAAAAATTTTAACTAAATTTTGATCCCTAAAATTCTTGATGCCTCAAATTAAAAACTTACGATAAAAATTTCGGAAAATACACTTCCTAATCGTTTTGCGTTCGACTACTAAATTTTTTAAAAGGTATTACTAATTGATTTGGAACATAGAATAGAAGTTGGCAATTAAAGAAATTTAATATCAAGGCTTGTGGCTTTTTTTAAATTTTATATTCATTATAACATGTTAATATTCTTTAATATAAAGATAATTATTATTTAATTAATATTAATTTTTTGTCTCTTCATTTTTGTTTTAAAAATAAAAAATATGTAATCAATTAAATGTCATGTTCGATTATAATAATAAAGTTTGATGCAATATAAAAAATACCATCAAGATTTTAATTTTAAATTAAAATATTCTCATTATTATTGATTACTCTACTCTATTATCAGTTAGAACAGTTTTATTTAAATATAAATTTCCTTAAATATTTATATTATTTAAAAAAAAATATTCTTTTATTAAAATAAATTCCTGTTTTTCCTTTTCCCTTTAATTTCTTTCTTCATAAAATTACAAAAATCATAACTATAATTGTGATTAAGAAATATGTCATCTTTTATAACAAATTCCTCTAAAACATCAAACTCTGATTCTCCAAATTTTTATGCTGATGAGGTTCCGGTTGCTGACTTAGTCTACTCTTTTGACTGGTCCTCCACTCCTCTTGGACCTATGGAAGAATGGGATCCTTCATTCAAAATGGCCGTTGTATATAAATTTATTTCTTTACCATTGATTTTTAATTTTTGATTTTTGATGGAATTTTGTTTTGATTGTTGTTATTTGATAAATTTTAGGATATTTGTCTCCATTCGGTTTTTCCTATAGCAATTTATTGTGGTCCTGATTTGATTTTAATTTATAACCAAAGTAGGCAGCAGTTTTTTATTTTTATTTTTATTTTTATTTTATTTTTTTAGGCAACTTAAAAAATCTTAAATTCCCTGAAATTTAGTGTGGCGCAGTATTTTAAAAAATAAACACCCAGGTACGTTAGACTCAAATAAAACCTTGATCACGTGATAAGACATAAACTACATTTTATTTTATTATTTTATCTAGCTTTGGGACTTCCAGCAAAAGAAATTTGGACAGAGATATTCGATATAATTGGACCACAATTTAACGAGTAAATAAAAACCTATGTAATTTCAAATATATAAAGAATAGTTTAATTGATTTTGACGTTTTTTCACACTTTTTATTTTCTTAGAGTTATATCAACATCTAAAGGTCGATTTAATAATGATATGTTATTATTTTTAAAACGAGAGGGATATCTCGAGGAATGTTATTTTTCATTTACATTTAGTCCGATTTTTGACAAACATGGAACCGTCTGTGGTGTTTTAAATGCGGTACAAGAAACAACTCAGAGAGTTTTGGCTGCAAGAAGGCTAAAAACTTTGAGCGCTGTAGGAAATAGAACAACTGGTAAATTTGTTTATTTATTGTCTTTGATTTTAATTTTTTTATTTTTTTTTTTATCTAAAGGGAAATTCGTCTTTTCTAATAATAGGAGCAAAATCAATGGAAAGCACATGTTTTCGTGTAATGGCAGCATTTCAAGAAAATGATGCTGATTTGAAATTTGGTATGTTCTACTTGATCGAACGTAAAAAACCAAAATCTGACTGTATACAAAAATCGGCAAAATTAATCGCAACAACTTTTGATGAAAATTTGTTCCCGGTTGAAAACGAAGATGGCGAATTTACTTTCATCGAGGGTCATTCCACCAGAAATTTTCCTGATTATTTATTAGACACAAAAAAAATTGTAAAATTTGATCGTCCTTCGTTATTTAATTCGGATATTGGTGATGATAGTAATGATAATAATAAAGATACAACAAATCCCCAAAGATCTTGGCCATTAAATGAAGTTTTAGAGAGTGGCACCCATGTTTTGGTTACTCTTAAAAACGATTCTAAAGCAATCCTTTTACCTGTTTATACTTCTTTTGATGGTAAAAATGCAATAACTGCTATCTTGATTTGTGGAATTAATCCACGCCGTGCTCTTGATCAAGAGTATATGGAATTTTTACATGTAATTTTTTTTTTTGTTAATATTTGCATTCTTATTGATGATATTTTTTAATTAAGCAATTAATTAATTATTATAGCTTGTAGTAAGTCATGTAAGTTTGAGTTTGACTCATGGTAGATCGATAGAAGAAGAACGAAAACAAGCTGAAATTTTAGCAGATTTAAATAGACAAAAAATAATGTTTTTTCAAAATATAAGTCATGAATTACGCAGTATGTCAATATTTATTATATTATTTATTATCCCCGCTAGATTAGAATTATAAATATTAATTTTATATTATTTATATATATAAAAGCGCCATTGACATTGATGCTTTCACCACTTGATGAAGCGATATCTAGTTGCCCAGAAGATTCCCCAATTTTGTCATATTTACAATTAATAAATCGTAATGCTCGCAGATTACTTAAATTAGTTAATATTTTATTACAAGTAAGTTGTTAATCAATCAATAATATATATTTCTTTAATAATAATAATGATGATGTATCGTTATTAACTTTCTGGTAGTTTTCTCGCATTGAGGCTGGAAAATTGGATGCAAGATTTATTGAAACAGAAATAGCGAAATTAACATTGGATTTAGCTTCAAGTTTTGAAAGTATGGCTAAATCACTGAATTTAGATTATATTCTTGATATTCCAGACCAAAAGACTCTTGATAATCAATTAACAAAAAAAGTTTTTATTGATCGTGATATGTATGAAAAAATTGTTTTTAATCTTTGTGAGTAAACTGAAAACATTTCACATATTTGGTATTTAATTTTTCATATTTGGAAATTAAAATCAATTATAAAATTAATTGTTTTTATAGGTTCTAATGCTTTTAAACATACTTGGAATGGAAGTGTGACAGTTCGTTTGTATCCTGAAAATAATGATGGAAAAGAATTTATTTTATTTGAAGTTGTTGATACAGGTTAATTTTCTATTTTTTTATCATATTTTATTTGTTATTTTAAAAAAAACCAATTTGAAAAATAAAAATAATAATAAATAAGTGTATATATAGGAGTGGGTATACCGGAAAGTGATAAACCAAAATTATTTCAAAGGTTTTATCGAGTGGAATCACGCCAATCACGTAGTCACGAAGGAACAGGAATTGGGTTGGCGCTGGTGAAGGAGTTGGTTATAAGACATGGAGGTGATATTTTGGTCGAGTCAAAAGTGGATGTAGGATCAACCTTTAAAGTTTTAATACCTACAGGCTGGGACCACTTGCCACAAAAACAAATTTATTTTAAAGGTGACGAAGAAGAAGAAGATGGCAATGCTTTATTTTTTATAAAAAATGAGAACAATTATGATAATAATTTCAAAAAATTGTTCACGGAAAAAGATTTGTATCTTGAAGAGTCTCATCAATGGATACAAAAACCTCAATCATTTGATAAAAAAGAAAACATCAAATCATATAATAAATTTGATCCGAGTAATTGTCTAGATTCAAATAATAATAATCATATTTTTAATAACAGTATTGATGTAAATATCGATTTAGAAGATAAAGAAATGAGTAACAAGTACAAGTATCTGTTGGCCTTTGATGATGATTCATTGAAACTTTATGAAAAATATAAAGTATTAGTAGTCGATGATAATAATGATATGAGGTAATGAACTATCAAATTATCTTATATTTTACATTTTTATTTTATTAATTTTTTAATATTTTTATAGAAATTATCTTGCAAGTTTGTTAAGTAAACTATTTGATGTTTACACTGCTTGTGATGGATTTGATGCTTTGAGAACCATGGAAAGTCTTCCTAGATTGCCTGATTTGGTTTTAAGCGGTCGGTAGATGAAATTTTTAATTATAATTATTTGTTTTGTTGTTTGTGTTGTCTAATAACAAACAATGTTATATCGTTTAAAAGATATTATGATGCCAAATATGAACGGGTATGAATTATTACAAACTTTAAGATCTAATATAACAACCCAATCGATTCCTATTATTCTATTATCTGCCAAAGCGGGTGAAGATGCTAGTATTGAAGGTATATTTTTCTTACACAAATATGTACATATATAAATACATACATCCGTATATTTAGCAAAATTTTTTGTTAATTTATCAGGATTGGAAAAAGGAGCAGATGATTATTTAACAAAACCATTTAGTGCAAGGGAGTTGGTTGCACGTGTAAAAGTTAACATTCAACTTTCATTTCTTCGTCAACAACTTATCCTTCAACAACGTAGACAAATCGAAACAAAGCAATTATTGTTCTCCATTAGTAGTAAAATCCGTGCTAATATTAGCATAAAAGAAACTTTGACAACTGCAATTGAAGAAATCCACAGGGTTTTACCTTGTGATAGAATATATGTAGTATCAGCCGAAAATCAAAAATATGACAATTCCATTATCACCGCTTATGCTGCTACTAACCCAAATGAAAAAAATCTGACTGGTCACATAGTTCGATACGTTGTAGAAGAGGAATTAAATAAATTGCTAAAATTGAATGAAACAGATCCAACTCCCGAAATTGAGGCTGCATTGAAATCCTTGAAGAGCATTGAAGAATTTATGAAAACAAAGAATGATAATAATTCGGATTTGGAGGCTACTGTATTCAAGGATTATTATTCTGCGATAGTGGATTTCAATGTTTCAATTATAAATGTGCCAATAAGGGTAAAGAATTATATCTGGGGATGGTTAATAGCCAATAAAGCGTCAAATTCTAATTGGAGTAATTCAGAAAGATTATTTCTACAACAAATTACTAATCAAATAGGTTTGGCAATAATCCATGCTGAATTGTTGGAAGAAAAATTGAAACGTGAGGCACAAATGGAAGCTGCAAAAGCTGCCAATGAAGCTAAAAGCCAAATTTTAGCAAATACTTCTCATGGTAATGATTTATTAGTTTTTTTTTTTTTAATTTAAAATTATGGATTTGTATTTAGTTAATATATAAATCATGTGTGTAGAGCTACGTACACCTTTGGGAGCAATTATAGGAGTTTTATCAGCATTTGATGATACAAAATTGACTGAAGATCAAAAAGACATGATTCAAATAATGACAAGAGCATCAGATGTTGTATTGTCGGTGGTTAATGATATACTTGATGCAGCTAAATTAGAGGCTCAAAAGGTGACCTTGATGAATCGTACTTTTGATCTATTTGATTTGATTCAGAAAACTATTGAAATATTCGGCGAAAGAGCAGGAAATAAGAAAATTGAATTAATCTTGAGTTGTGATCCTGCTTCTTTACCAAAATATGTTAAATCAGATCCAGAAAGGTAATTTATAACAATATGTATTTATATATATTTATATATTTAATATTAATATAATATATATATAATTTTTAATTACTAGACTTCAACAAATTTTAATGAATTTATTATCTAATTCGTAAGTGTTTGTTCGATATTGTTTATATACATAAATGTATTATTAATTTACAAATTTATTTATTTATTGTTATCAAAAAATTCAAGAATCAAATTTACTGAACGTGGTGAAATAGTTTTAAATGTTTCTATTACAACTTCTGAAAAAAATAGTGAAGAAACTAGTGAAAATAACGACTCTACTAATAATAAAAAAGGCATTTTACTCGTTGAAATAAAAGATACAGGGATTGGGTAAATAAATAAAGAGTAATATATCTTAATTTTTTTGAAAGATTTATTAATTCTATCTTTATATAGTATTGAATCATCATTTATGAAAGATATTTGGGAAAGTTTTTCTCAGGGTGATCCATCATTAACGAGAAGACAAGATGGTACAGGATTAGGATTATCAATATGTAAACATTTGGTAACAATAAATGGTGGAACATTGAATGTACAAAGTGAATTGGGTAAAGGAAGTAAATTTTGGTTTACATGGAATGTTGAAACATTATCATTATCAGCAATACCTGTCACTCCAATTATCACTACTACTACTACTAACAATAGCAATCCGATCAATAGTAATGATAATATGGTCAGTTTTGTACTACAACCAACTGTTAGATTAAAACGTGTACTGATTGTGGATCCAGTTGAAAATTCACGTATTTCGTTGGTGAAATTGATTAGTGAAAGTGTTGAAAGAATAGATGCATTCGAATGTAGTCAGAAAGGTACTATTGCTGCGAAAGAGTGGCAAGAAAAAAATAAAGATCTGTTATACGATATAGTATTTTTCAATGTTAGAGATGAAAATATTGAAGAGGTCAAACAGTCTTCTAGAGAGTTGCGGAGAGTCTGTGGTGACAATTTATGTATAATACTGATGGTGTTTTGGTCCGTTAACGGTAGGTTATTGGGTCAGAAGATGGTTGAAGAAATAAGAGGTCATGTTGCTGCTTTGTGTAAGCCTATTATGCAAAAAAGATTGCTGGACTGTTTACATAACACTGAAATATTCAAATCAAAATCCCCTTCACCTCCATACACAAATAATAATGATGACATTAATAATGGTGACTATGATCGTCACAATAATCATTATCAGTATCATAGTATTAGAAATTTCAGCCCAATGAAACCTTTGAGTGATCTGAAAGTTGAAAAATATTATCATCATAACAGACCAACCAAAACCATTACTTCTGGTATAGAAGTTGATTCAACATCAATAATAACAAATTATGATAATGATGCGATGCTAATTGATAAAAAATCTAATCTTGACGATTTTGAAAAATCAGGTGATAACCCAGAGTTTAATTGTAGTATGAAATCCGAAAAATTTAATTCAAAATTGAAGCGTTCAGTTGACAGCGAATCTATTTATTCGTTAAATAATGAACGTTCATCAAAATCGAGAAATAGACCTACTTCAAAATCCAAATGTGTTTTATGTGTGGTATGTTTAAATTTCCTTGTTTAAAAAAAAATTTTTTTTTTTGATGCTGATATGACAATCAATTAATTGAAAAATATGTGCATGAAATTATAGGAAGATAACCCTATCAATCTAAAGGTATATGTGTAAATATATGTAACAGTGTTAATGATATTTCTTAAATGCCACATATTTATTGTATTTATATATATACAGGTTATTCAACATCAACTAACAAAATTAGGATATCAATCTTTATCAGCAACAAATGGCCAAGAAGCAGTTAATTTAATGAAATCAGAATGCATGGATTCACCTGATGATAACGTATATGATGGGGAATCAGCCGGGCTTTCATCTGATTCCGATTCTAATTATAACAAAATATCATTGATTTTAATGGATTGTGCAATGGTAATTAACTGTTTTTATTTTGGAAGAAATATTAGAAATTATATAAATATTAATTAACCAATTAATTATATATGTATATATATTAAATAGCCTGTTATGTCTGGGTTTGATGCATCAAAATCTATTAGAGCAATGGAACCACCAATATCACAAATACCAATTATAGCATTAACAGCATCAGCAGTACAAGGCACAAGAGATAGATGTCTTGAAGCTGGCATGAATGATTATCTTACTAAACCATTGAAAATTGGACAACTTAAAGAAATGTTGACTCAATGGCTTGGGGAAGATTAATTATAAATTATTTATATCTGCATATTATATTTTAAATTTATGTATTTATGTATAATTTGTAAATTACTTTTAATGTGTGAATATGATTTTTTTCATTTTAGAATATATATACTACACTGATTTTAATAATCCTTTATATGCTATGCAACTTCTTCCTGAATCTTTTCTAACAAAAAAAATTCTCCCATTTCTAAGATTTCATTAAGGTTGATTTTTATTGTTTTTTAATTCAATATGCAAATAATTATATATATACATATGGTTAACACGAAATTTAATTGTCAACACATGGAATTATAAATCTTTTTGCCAATAAATATCTTGTTAATTGTCATAACCACATATCCAGAAATTTCACAAAACTTATTAAATTTTATCTTCATAATTAATATACCTGAAATTCATAATAAAATGAAAACAATAATTTGATATACAATGCACTGGTGTCCAAATGTGGTAATCTTAATCTCAATATTGATAAATAATGTTAGTGAATATAATTAGTCTAATAAGTGACAAAATAAAAATTTGAAATGATAAAAATTATCATTAGCATTTTCCATTTCCACCCAATATTAAGATCAATTGAGTTAAAACTAACCTATTACATTTTACAGAACTAATAAATCAGAACTGCCTCATGTACACATACAATTAAGTATCCTGTGCATCTTGTTATCATTTGGTTGCTTGATGCGCTTGGCATAGTATTGCCATTCCATGCAAGTGGGCCTGTTTGTCTTTGGTCATCATCAAGGTGTAGAAGATCTGAGAAAGGCCTTATACACTTATTTCTTTTTAAAAAGGAAATTCAATGGCAAGGTTGCAGTTTTTGATAGATGCTTGCATTTTTGGTGGCCAGTATCTGGTTCTAATTTTGAAAATTTCTTCTTTTCTCAAGCATCAATGTGGCTAGTATCAATACAAGAAGAACCTAGCTATCTATTGAGGGTAGTATTTTTTAATATACTCGTAGTGCCCCTTTCCATTGGGGGAAACATCAAAGCTTTCAGATCAGGGTTTCCAAATAAGATCAGAAGTTTGACATTG